AGAAAACAGGTGATGACACTGTAGCTAGACGAACTGCTATTGCTATAATTTTCCCTTTAAAAAAATCTGCATTGTCTTCTAAAACATGTGAAACCTTTAATTAGTAATTACTTTAATTCAGTACTATGAGATTCTATCACCCCAATTACTTCTTTTATGTTTTTAAGTGGAGAGGAATCTGACAATTTGTACAACAGTGACAAAAAGGCTATTATTAATCAAGCTTGTAATGGATAATTTTATTCAGGAAAAGCAACAAGAGTTTAAGAAAACTTTGATTCTGGGGCTGGAAAGATAGCCCAGCAGTTAAGAGTAGGTACTGTTAGTAGAAAACTAGTACTGGGCTCTCCCCTATGTCCTGTGACCTGTCTAGCCTCTGGTTCCTCAGCCTGGCATCAATGTCAGGTATTGGCTTCATCCTATAAAGTGGACCTTAAATCCAAATACAGAGTGATTGGTTTTACTCCCATAATATTTGTGACAGTATTGCACCAGTGGGTATATCTTGCCAGGCCAGTTGTTCTAGTTCACAGGATTCACACTTGGGTAAGGTTGATGACTGATTTTTTTTTTCCCCGTCTGGTAGCATGTACAGCATTTTCCAATACTGTGAAAGCTAGCCAATAGACATGAAACTTTGAAGTCAGCACCAGCTTGATTTCTCCTTGCTTGTTCCGTAGCTTATGTATGTTTTCCCTCAGCAATAGGGTCTTACAATCAAGTTTTGGGAGGTAACCAAGAGCGAGGGCAAAGGTCAGTACTGTTTGAGGATCTATGGGACCCCTGGTTAGTGGCTTCTAGAGAGAGAGTCCATTCCCGGCACTGAGATTGTTTTGTTGTTGTTATTAGCCTATGAGGTCTACAAGGGGTAACATTCCCCTGTTACAGGGTAACTCCTTTTAACATCTTTTCATAATAAATATGTATATGCTTTAAGAAACTTCTATAATGACAGGTTTCCAAGTGGCTTTTTCTGTCCTCCCCCCTCTGCCCTGCTCACCCATCCCCATCTTGTTTAACCTTTCCTACTCTAATGTCTCCTTTTCCCCCTTCATATCACTACATTCTCCCACCTCTCCCAGGAAGCCTCCACCCGCAACCCATGGCAATTTTTTAGTTTCTTGGCTTCTCTGGGCTTTCAGATTGAAACGTGCATGCACATCTAAGATTTCAAAGGTAGCATCGAGCTATGAGAGAGAACATTGCCTTTCTGGGTCTGGGTTACCTCACTCAGGATGACTGTTTCCAATTCCATCAATTTAACTATGAATTTCTTAAATTTTTAAAGAATTGAATATTCCATTGTATATACATACCATACCTTCATTATCTAATCATCAGTTGATGGAGATATAGGTTGTTTCCAAATCCTGGCTATTATTTAGAAAAGGCAGCAATGAACATAAATGAACAGGTATTTCTATAGTAGGGTATATGTCCAAGAGTCGTATGGCTGGGTCATATGGTACATCAATTTTGAGCTTTTTGAGGAATCTCCACCAGATTTCCATAGTGCCTGCACCAGTTTGCACTGCCACCTGCAGTGGATAAAGAGTTCCCCTTTCTCCACATCCTTCTCAGCATTTGTTGTTGTTTGTTTTTTTTTTTCCTTCTAGTTATAGTATTTAAGTGACTCCTTATGACTTATTGTACCCATAGATTAATGCATCTCTCAACCCTCACCAGAGAAGCTTCCTTATGCAACAGATGGTGATTAATACAGAAACCCACAACTAGCCAATATGCAGAAAACAAGAGGCTGCAGAGTGCTTTTCCCCAAAAAGGACACCTATAACAAATCCATCTCTCAAGGTTCAGGGATCATTGTGGAAGAGTGGGCAGAAAGATTGCAAGACTCTGAAGTAGTGGATGACCACAAGGAAACAGAGTTTTTCAGACAGCTGGTTTGTTCCTCATATGAACTCACAGCAATGGTGACAACATATGCAAGTCCTATGTAAGCTCAAACCAGACAAAATCCCAGCAGAGACATGGGGAAGTGGGTAAAAAATCCCAACCCAACCTAAGGAACTTTTGGAAAGCAATGGGAGCTGGGAGGGGAGACATGGTCTCTTTCAAGCATGGGATTCTTGGTAAGTTAACTTGGGTGTCTGAGAACTCAGATTAGGCTCTGTAGGTGTTATATACATGTACATTAAAGTGGGGGGCAACATGGGGAGGTGATGAAAGGGAAGGGAATCTATATACCATCAAATTATATTATATGAAAACTGAAAAAATTCACTCTTGCAGGGGACCCAGGCTAGAGTCCTAGCACCTATACAAGGCGCTCACAACTGCCTATAATTCCAGCTCTAAGGGGATCTGACACCTCCTTGGGCATGTGCGCTCATGTGCACTGACACATACGCAAACATACAATTTTTTAAAAATCAAATTAAAAAAGAAAAAAAACCTTTGATTCTAAAATTCTAAGTGCACAACATTATGCACCTTTTCAAAAACTCATTTGCAAAGACATTTTTAGTAGAATTTACAATGTCAGAAAACAGATACAACTTTACTCTCAACTCTCACCAGAGAAGGTTCCTGATTGTTCTAGCTTGTTTCTCCATTGCTGTGACAAAATACTCTGACCAGTACCAACTTGGGTAGGAACGAGTTCATTCAGCTTACATATCCCAGGGTCACAGTTCATCAGGGAGCCCAAGGTAGGAACTCAGGGCAAGAACCTGGAGGCAGGAGCTGGAGCACAGGCCAGGGAGGAATGCTGTTTATTGGCTTGCTTCCCTGGCCTCTGCTCAGCCTGCTTTCTTATGTAACACAGGCCCACCTGCCCAGGGGCACACAACAGTCAAGAAGATGCCCCACAGGCATGTCCACAGGCCAGTCCAATGGAGGCAATTCCCCAATTGAGGCTCCCTCAACCCAGGTGTGTCAAGTTGACACTAACGCTATCCAGCACAATTGACCCCTTGTCAACTTGACACAAACACATCACAATTAAACCATAACCTTTCCAATTCTTATCCCCAAGATATGATGTTAATATCACAGCATAAGATGGGACAACCTTAAAAGCCCCACATTCCTTAAAAAATCCAAACACTTAAAAGGCCATAGTCTTTTGAAAGTCTCTTAACTGTGGGTGGCCTTCTGTAAAATCCAAAAACAAGTACTGTCTTATTTCAAAGGGGAAGCATCAGGCAAACCTGAGCAAAACCAAAGTCCAGCAAAATTGCTCAAGGCTGGACATCTAGGATTCACTCACAATCTTCTAGGCTCCAAAGGGTTCTGGCAGTTATACCTCTCTGACTGCCCTCCACAGCATACACAGCTTGTCTCACAGACCCAGGCCAGCTCTATTCCACACCTGCCACTGCCTTTGGTGGTTGTCCCATGGTCCTGGCATCTGCAAAAGGCTGGGGTCTCCAATGAAACTGAGGCTACACCTTCACCAATGGCCTCTTCTTGCCTCTTGGGGTGCAAAGCCTCAGATTCTCTCCATGACTCCCTCAATCCTGGGGTCTTCACTGCAACTGAAGCTGCACTTTCACCTATGGCCTTTCCTGGCCTCTCAAGTGCCAAGCCCCAGTGGCTCTCTGTGACCCCTTCATGCTTTCAACATCAGAACCATGTAGGAGACTCTTACACATTACCGAGTCCTGCTTTCAGCTAGAGATGGAGGCTTAGGTCTCCTCTTGACCACAGCTTCTGTGAGCAGACCCTAAGGAAATACTTCCCAGAAGATTTCAGCACAGTAATGTTGGTCTTTTGTTACTTACAGCTGATTTTTAGCCCCAGCTAACCAGCATCAACTGTCCCAGTAAAGCAAAGGTTTTACTTCAGGTTCTGGTCTCTTCTTAATCATAGCTGATTCTTCAGCCCCAGCTGACCAGAAGCCACAGATTTCAATTCAAAATATGATATAAACAGCCCTGATAGTCTCTGCTTCCCTTTGAAGCTTCATAAGCCAGCCCTCCATCATCCACAACTCTTTCAACATAACTGTTCTAAGCTCCACAGCAACAAACTCTAAGTACTCAGTGGCTTTTCCAGCCCAAAGGTCAAAACACTTCCACAATCCTCCTAAAAACACCAAGGTAGGGTCTGTCACAGCAATGCCCCACTCTCTGGTACCAATTTCTATTCTAGTTTGTTTCTCCATTGCTGTGACAAAATACTCTGACCACTACCAACTTGGGGAGGAAAGGGTTTATTCAGCTTATATATCCCAGGTCACAGTTCATCAGGGAGTCCAAGGTAGGAATTCAGGCAAGAACCTGGAGGCAGGAGCTGGAGCACAGGCCATGGAGAAATGCTGCTTACTGGCTTGCTCCCCTAGATGCTGCTCAGCCTGCTTTCTTGTGCAACACAGTCCCACCTGCCCAGGGGTGGCACCACCCACAGTGGGCTGGGCCCTCCCACATCACACAGCAATCAAGAAGATGCCCCAAAGACATGGCCACAGGTCAGTCCAATGGAGGCAATTTCCCAATTGAGGCTCCCTCAACCCAGGGGTGTCAAGTTGACACTAAAGCTATCCAGCACAATCCTGATCCAACAGATGGTGATTAATACAGAAACCCACGACTGGCCAATGTGGGGAAAACAAGAGGCTCCAGAGTGCTCATCCCTGAAAAGCACCATTTAGGAATTGGTTAAGTCAAATATTAATACAGCCCATTCATTGAATAAGAATAAAAATTATTTGTGAAAAATATATAACTAATGAGGATATTAAGTGGCAATAGGTTATTCAACATGTCTCCATAAATGAGAAACATATTAAACACATATGAAGCATATGTGCATAAGGGACTAATTAATGTCTATCTGCTGGTAACAGAATTTCTCCAATACTGTATTTTCCTTTGCCATTTTAAGACATATTTTAATGTATATTATAATTTCTACAATAAAAAAAAGTAACAAAAGATGAATTTCTCAAGCCATACCCACGGTCCCAGAACACCAGAAAGAACACAAGAAAAACAATCACACCAGCAAGATCTTGAATATAAAAGTGTATGAGATACCTTCACACTGTAGTACTCTTTGACTTCCAGTCTAATTGAATCAAAGTCCCCACTGATGAATTCAGGCAGAAAGCTGAAAGAAACAGTACCATGTAAGTCAACTAGCCTGACAATTAAAGTTTAAAACTACAGCTGTAATGTCCAGGGAGATAACAAATGCACAGAAACACAGAAACAAACCACCAAGGCGAGTAACATGTCATGTGCACATCCCTTATTCCAATACACTATGACTGAAGTAAATGCCCCACACCCAACAAACTCAACTCAGGAGGTCTGTATTGACTGTTCTGAACAAATGAATATCAATGATAGCTGGGTTTTCCAAGGCATCCTAATCCAAAGACCCTAACACAACCACACTTCCTTCCTTAGCAACTTCTCTTCACTAATACAGATCTTAACATTTCATTCTTCCAAGGATCTGGAACTTTCAACAGATCTGCATAGGACAAATCTCAAAGACGATTTCCAAATAATTGACATATTTCTAGAAACAAGAGTCTTCTGGGTAGTTTAAAAAGCTCATAAAAACCCCAAGTTTTAGGACCAGCATAGATGACTCAGTACTTAACGGTGCTTGCTGGCCTGAACTCAGTCTCGGGACCCATGTGGTAAGAGAAGAGGACTGCCTCCAACAAGTCTCTATGTCCACATGGGTGGCATGCCATGAGTACTGACACAAATAAATGAGGAAATAAATAAAAATTTTAAAAAGAACTCTAGGTTATATGCAGGGAGAGATTCTCAGATGTGGATTTTCTTGTGATATTGAAAATTACCTTCATTCCCTTTCCTGCTAGGATTTTTTTCATCGTTAATTTTTAAAAACTCTAACTCTATTTTATGTCATCATTTATTATTTTTGCAAAAGCATTTACATGAGCTGGTGGAATTTCTCTGCCTCACTTAAAACCATTAAATGTGGAGAGATAAAATATCCCTGGGTTTCTAGTGCTACAGGGGAAAACAACGCTGAACCTCCTGAGCCCGAAGAATGTATATGATGAAAATGGAAATACTCAGGCGTAACTTCCTACAAAAATATTCTACCATTCACATAACAGGGCAATTAGATCAATATCCATTTATTTAATTAGTTCTCTGATTTAAAGAAATAAGAACGCTACTGTAAGACTGGCCCAAGAAAGCTAAACTGTTAGCAAATTGACTAGGTCATTAGTTGCAGAGAGACCAGAACATTACTTCTGTAGGTATTGCATGTGGAAAGAGAGGAAGCCTCAGATTCTAAAGAAAGTCTAGGTCAAAAAAAAAAAAAAACAAAAAACTAATACCTAGGGGATCATGTGGCTCTTGGAGAGATTCTATTCATAAACCAAAAGGTTAAGAGCAGTTCCATAGAATTTCCAAGGAGACCTTCCAAGAAGGGAAAAACATAGCTGACATCTTCCACTTAGCAAGCAGAGAAAAGAAATGTATTTTCCATTCTTCACATATGGATGTGCAACTACCAGCAGATGCAACTGAGTGAGCTCTCAGTACCTAGGCCAAGACCAGAGCAAATGTGCCTTTAGAAATACGACTCAAGGACTTCCCTACAGCCTAAGCAACTCCAATCTTCCCAACTCCACATCCTGTTCTCCTTCTAGCCTTGGGCACAGGCCCACTTTTGCTCTTAGCATCCCAGATTTCTGGACTATCCTCTTACTCTGACCAGCCAATTGCATCCTGATCCTCTGCACTCAGACCAGCTCAATTTTTCAGATTAGTTTGTTAGAGCCTTCACAGGCTGTCCCCACGGGCAACTTGCCTTGAATTCCCAAGACTAGCCTTCTTCCCTGGTACGTATGATCCCGCCAACTGAGCTGTGACTCCTCTACAGCCTGAGCAACTGCACACACCCCAACCCCACATATTCTCCTTCTAGCCTTGGGCATGGGCACCTTTTGCTCTTAGCACCCCAGGTCTCTGGATTACCCTCTTAGCTCCACATGTTGGTGAGCTCTTTAAATTGCCCAGTGCCCATCCCGCTACATTAGGACCATCTTCAGCCCCTCTCACTGCTGCAGGGCTAGGCTTCCTGCCCTTTAGTAGGAGCCAGACTTTGGCAGACTGCCTGAGATCACCTGAATCCAGCTTCTGCCTAACAAACTTCCCAAATTATGCTATGCCTGCTGGCTAGAGGCTCCCAGATTTTAGGAGGATGCCTGAGAACATCTGAGTCTCCTGACTTGGGCCTCTGTCAGAACTCCTCAGTAGCTATCTATAGTCACCTGGTCCTTCCAAAATAAAATCAAAAGGGAGACCATGAAGCTGAGAACAAGCTTTTCATAGCCAATAAGAAAACAACCAAGGCACACCAAGTACACAAACAGAAACAGACTTCACCTCAACAAGGGAAGGCTTGAGTCTCACACCAGAACCACAAACAACCGAAGAAATCCATATGTTAATTAGTAGATGTGAAAAACACTACCACTGAAATCTACCTGATGACTTTATATCCATGCTGAAGTGCCAAGGATCTCAGAAAGTAATCCACCATGACTGGTAATCAGTTATATAGTGAATAGAGATGCATGTGCAAACTCTAAGTGTTAGTTGCATTAAAAATGGGTTTTTCTGTATCAAACAGTATATTTTAAAGTGAAATGAAGATCTTTTTAAAAGATTAAAACCTCATTCAATTTTATGACTTATAGGGTTTATTCTGAGAACAATATTGTATAACTGAATTAATCCACTGTGAACCTAAAATTTACAGCTAATTTTGAAAGTGATGCATCTTTGCTCTGGAAATTGTTATTGAATATGTCAATGCTGTTGTACTGAAATGATTCTTCTAATTATGTGGTTATTAAATAAATAATTACAAAAATAAATCCATATTCCAAAATCACAATGAAAAAATAATATGAAAAACCCAAATAATATGCCCTATCAAACACCAACAATCCCATAGAAGAGTTCTACAGTGAGAACCCCCAGAGATAACCCAGGACACAGAATTTAAAAGAACAATTGTAAACATGATCAAAGAACTCAACTAATTTAAAGAACACACAAACAAATCAAAGAACTAAAAGGGATAAACATCTGACAGAATTCACAAAAGAGAAATGATGAAAAAAAACTCAGGCTGAAATGAAGAAGGAAGTGAAACAGTAAGTCAATTAGAAGTGATAGGAGAAAGCCTCACCAATAAAATGAATGAGATGGAAAACAGAATATCAAGGCTGAATGATCAAATTGAAGAACTGGACCACTTGAGTAAGGTTTATGAATTTAAAAAAATAAAAAACACAGGAATGGAATATGCAGGAAATGTGGGTCACCATGAAAAGACCAAATTTACACATCTTAGACATAGTGGAAGACTCTCAGGATAATGGTGTTGACCAAATCTTCAAGAGGATCATAGAAGATAATTTCCCAAATTAAAGAAAGACATGCCCATTTAAATACAAGAAGCACATAGAACACCAACTAGAACCAGTAAAGAAACTCCCCATGGTACATCACAGTAAAAACACTAAAGGTACAGAACAAAGAGAGAATCCTGAAAGCTGGAAAAGAAAAACAAGTCACATATAAAGAAAAACCCATCAGAATCACAGCTGACTTTTCAATGCAAACTATGAAAGCCAGAAGAGCCTGAACCAAAGTATTTCCACTTCTAAATGTCCATAGGCGTCAACTGAGATTACATTACCCATCAAAAATGTCTATCATATTTGGAGGTGAAAGAAAAATCTTCCATGACATAAATAGGTTGAAAGAATTCAAGTCCACAAAACTAGCCTTTCAGAGAATTCTTGAAGCAATACAAAGAGCTGAAGAAAGGAAAGACTATACCCACGAGGCAACAGAAAGGAACTAAATGAAGGTATAACTGTGGAAACACAAAGACCAAGAATGCAACAGAAATTAAAAGGATGGGAACCAATATATAATAATAATAACATCTAATAATAACTTAAATATCAAAGGACTGAACTCCCCAGTCAGAAGGCTAGTTGAATGGATTAGGAAAAAAAATCTTTTTGTTGTCTGCAAGAAACCCATCTCACCTTCAAGGACAAGCACTACCTTAAAGTAAAAGAAAGGAAAAAAAATATCCTGAGCAAATAGTGCTAAGAAACAAGCAGGAGTTGCAATTCAAACATCTGACAAAACAGACTTCAAATTAAAACCAATCAGAAGAGATAAGGAGGTTCATTTCATTCTGATCAAAGGAACATTTAACCAAGAAGATACTACAATATGGACATATGTGCACCAAACACTGGTGCACTCACCTTCATAAAAATAGTACTACAGGACTTTAAGATACAAATTAATCCCAACCCACTAATAGTAAGGGACTTCAATACCCCATTGTCTCCATTAGACAGGTCAATGGGTCAAAGAATAAACAGAGAGACATCTAAATTGAGCAATACCATACATCAAATGGGCCTAAGAGACATCTACCAAATATTCCACCCAAGCACCAAAGAATAAATGCTGCATTCAGCACACCACGGGCATTCAGCACATCATGGAACTTTCTCCAAAATCCACCACATACTGTAGCACAAAACTAGTCTTAACAAATACAGATAAACTGAAATAATTCCATGCATTCTGTCAGAACACAATGCCATAAAGCTTAAAATCAACACTGGAAGAAGCCCTAGAAACTACACGAGCTCATGGAGATTAAACAACCCATTTCTGAATGATGAATCTGTAAAAGGAGAAATTAAGAAAGAAAGAAAGGTATTCCCGGAATTGAATGAAAAGTACAAAACCTCTGTGACACTTTAAAAGCAGTCCTAAAAGGGAAGTTTATAGGTCTAACTGCCTTCATTAAAAAAATCGGAAAGAACACCAACTTACATTGCAACTCAATACACTTGAAAGGCACAGCAAATGAAACCAAAATCCAGCAGACAAGAAGAAATAACAAAAATCAGAGCAGAAATTAATGAAATGGAAACAGAAAACAATGCAATGAATCAACAAATCCAAGAGCTGGTTCTTTGAAAAGATGAACAATATAGGCAGATGTTAGCCCAGCTAACCAAAAGAAAGAAAGAGCAACTCCAAATCAACAAAATCAGAGATGAG